GAGCCGGTTGGAGCGGAGGAGGAAAGAAGGGGGGGGGGGGGGGAGAAATGACTCTGCCCTGCCGAAATCAGCTGCCTAGTAGAGCCTGGGACTCAAGGGGAGTTGCCATGGATACAACAGCCTGGCGTGTCCATGGGTTGAGCCGGCAGGAAGGGTCCATCCCAGGCTGCTCTGCTCCCCTCCAAATGCATTTCTGTCCAGCATTAGATCCCAGGAGTCCTCCCTCTCAGCCCCCCACGGGGTAACCACTAGGCCCCACTCCTGCAGGGTAGGAAACAGAACCCAGGTGTCCTGATGCCTCAGCCTCCCTGCTGCGTCCCGTACCTGCCAGTCCCCCCCTGGAGCTAGGAGTAGAACCCATGAGTATGGCTCCCTCCAGCCTTTCTTTTGCCCCCAGCCCATGCAGCCTCCTGCAGCTCAAAGACTCACTCACCAGCTCTGTCTCTTGGGGGAGGCAGGAGCCCCTCCTACCTAGCCCCAAGCCCTGCGGAGTATGGTGGGGTGACAGTCCCAAGGTGAGTACAGTGTCCTAGGCCAAGTTTGGCCCATGGATAAGTATTATCCTGGCAGGATCGGGGTGTATGTCCCCCACCTCAGTTTCCCCTACACGTGGTTGTGCTATGGTGCCAGTACCCCCTGCTGAGTTACCCCCCAGCACCCTCCCTCTGGGGGTCTCCCACCCTGCCCAGACCCAGCTCCAGGGCCGGCCCTGCCCCCTCCTGGTGTGATCTAGGCCAAGTTTGGCCCATGGATAAGTATTATCCTGGCAGGATCGGGGTGTATGTCCCCCACCTCAGTTTCCCCTACACGTGGTTGTGCTATGGTGCCAGTACCCCCTGCTGAGTTACCCCCCAGCACCCTCCCTCTGGGGGTCTCCCACCCTGCCCAGACCCAGCTCCAGGGCCGGCCCTGCCCCCTCCTGGTGTGATCCTGCCCAGGCAGGCAGCCGACATGATCCTGCTGGACGACAACTTCGCCTCCATCGTGACGGGGGTGGAGGAAGGTGAGAGCCCGGGCGGGTGCGGGGGAAGGGAGGTGGGTAGCGCCCTCCCCCCACCCCATGTCCCACCTCCTGCTCCCGCAGCCCAGCCGGTTTGGGCTACGGGCCTGAGCCAAGCACCGGGCAGGCCCAGAATCCAGGCCACCCAAGTATGCAGAATGTGACTGGATCAGCTCCCTGCTGCCTTGGCTTCTCCTCAAACGAGCGATCTCTGGGCTGGTGCTGGTGGGATCGGAGCCCGGCCGGCGTCGTTGCCTCTGGGTCAGGCTGGCACCCGGCAGGCTGGGGGTGGAGGAAGCT